AAACTATTTTTTAGAGTAAACTAGCTGTAACCCGCGGGCTTTGCCCCGCTTAACTTCTTAATTTTCAAGATTATCTCGTTCGCATGGCTCAATCACGTCCTGGTTGAAGTTTGTTCGCTACGCTCACTCACCTTTAGGTCGGAGCTCGTTCGCTACGCTCACTCACCTTTAGGTTGGAGCTCGTTCGCTACGCTCACTCACCTTTAGGTTGGAGCTCGTTCGCTGCGCTCACTTGCCTTCAGGTTAGCTCGTTCGCTACGCTAACTCGCCTCCAGATTATATAAAATTATAAATTAAATAAGTTATTATTTTATTAAATTTTTATTTATTTAGTCATGAAAAATAAAATAATTACTAAAAGGGTACTTTGTTATATATGTTTTAATTTTATTATATTAGTAGCCCTAAAAATGCAAGAAAATAATATATATATATATATATACGTCCGTGAACGCGATAACTTGAGTAATTTTTGTCCGATTTTGATGAAATTTGGTTAAAATGTGTAAAGCGGGATAAACTTGAATGAGTTCGCGAACCAGCATGATCGGACCATGGGAACGGGGCTTTACGGGGGGGGTTTTATGGGGTAAAAATTGGTTTTTCTCACTTTTGACCCTCAAAACACAAAATTTTCCAATTTCTCTTTAGACCCTTTTAAAGAGCTTAAAAAAACAAATAATTTAGTATATAAAAGTATTTTTGTTTGGTTATAAGTAACGGAGAAAATTAAAAAAATTGTAAATTTAAAATTCCCATGTTATTCTTATGGAGAATATTATTGTTAAATGTAGTTTGCTTGTTTATGGATATATTTTGATTAAACTGTGCAAATTTATTTATTTTGTACTAAGCTATCAATATTTTACTAAAAAACACACTTTATTAGTTTCCTTGTAGCAGCAAACCTAGGTACTCGTTAAACCTAATGTTATTAAAATATATTTAATTGAAAATCAATTCATACAAATGGAAATTCGCTTAGTCGGCAGGTTTGCTGCGGCAAGGGTATTTTAAATCTTGTGTAGGCTGATATGAGAAAAACTGACCAAATCTTCGAGTAAAACTTTGAGATAGCCTACATGATTTACCAGATTTACCTTCATCTCCCTTAATTACACATCTTTTAATTTATTATTGACATTTTCAATTTCAATTTTGAAGTTGCAAAAATACTAATTATTAAATTTAAATATCTTTATATTAAACTCTTCTTTATATTAAATCACAAATCCTTTCATCTTCAGTTTTTCACTCACAATAAATAATTAGCAAAACTAAGTCAGCTGTTATAAACTTTACAAATATTGCTGTGCCTTATCAATTCAGTCTTTAGAAATGTTAAAGAAACTATATCTATATAGGTACTATAAAAAATTTCAAAAAAAATAATTTAGCATTAAAGACAGCAGACAAAACTAATATGACTATCAAAGCATCAAGGACTAAAAAATGTAATAGCAAATACAGTGTTTCATTGCATCGCTGATTCTACTCTATAAAAATATCAACAAACAACTTAATATACAAACCAGTTCTTTTAATCAGTTCCATCGTCCATTGCCTTTACATTTTCATACTTACCATTAAGAAAACATAGTAACAGATATTTCATTGATTTTAGAAACAAAAGAACACTGTGTACTGCTTAGTTTTATGATATTTTCCTTGGTTTAATTTAATCAGTGGTGTGACAAAACACAAATAATAAATGTATCAAATAAAGTAAATGTGAACTGAAAGCTACGTTAAGATAAAATAAGAGTATTTTGTACTACCATTTGATAATTAAATATAGTTACACATATACAACAGATTTTATAAAACAAAAATCAACGTACAATTTAGTTTTTGATGATATTCTTTAGTTTAATTTAAGCATGGGTTTAGCAAAACACAATAACTTAATTTACCTAAATATACATATAAAAAACCATGTGATGGGCTGATGTGCAAGTTATGTTAAGTTAATCTAACACACGTGAAGCAGTTAAAATTTATTTAAAGTAGGCTAGCCTCTAAATTCATACAAAACATCTATACATTGTAATTTTCATACTATTTTCATGAAAACATATCAATAACATTATTTTCACTTAAGATTATTAACTTAAGACGCTTTAAAAATTCCAAAGCAGAGTCGGAGTTGATACAGCAACGGTTATAAAATCTTTTTTTTCTATAATCATTGACATAGTCTTAGAATAAATAATTCATGATAAAAGGTTAGATTAAAATAAACCTACCTCATAGTTATGGAAAATATTATATTTAATTTCTTTGTATCAGCTGTCTGAAATTGTGAAATATGCAGTTTAACAGTTCTTCTTGTTTATATTTAAATGTCAAAGCAAATGTAAACAAACATTGTTGGTGTTCTCATCACAGCCATGGAGACCGATCAATATTTACTTTTAAAATGTTCACCTCAGAACTTTTAAAGCCAAAGGGGCAAAGCCTACGGTCAGTATCGAAATGTGAATAGTCCTATAATGGTCCTTGGTATTGTAGCTATATTTTTGTAAAATTTAAGCCCAGTTGATTCAGTAGTTTTTGCACCTATTAGTAATACGCATACAGACAGACACCATTAGATTTTTATATAATAGTATAGATAAATACGCATGTGTTTTGATGTATTAATATGAAGTCATGTAATAAATTGATTTTTATTAATTATTTATTGAATTTATTATACGAATGACACATTTCTATATTCACTTACGATTTATATTTTAGTAAACATGATGAACCTTTAGTTAAATGAATATCCTAAACACTTTTTTTTAAATAAATATTTAAAAACATTAATAAAAACTAAACTGTTTACTTGTTAACTTAAAAAAATCCATTCGAGTAAAAATTGGATTCAGTATTTTATTTATCATTATTTTAAAAGAAAATAATATTGTGATTCTCTATTATGTGACTGGACAATCAAGAGTAGTTTTATTATGATATTTCTATTTTATTTGGCCCAATAACAAAGCCTTCCTAACAAACCATCCTGTTTTATAAAAATTGGAACCCTAATTTCCTTTTCCCCTTAGGTATTACACCATGAGGTTCTTGAACTCATTATTTTTGTAGTATTTAAATCATTTTATCCGAATATTTCCAAACATTCAATCAAAATTCTAGCAATACCCTAAATGCATAGTGGTCAAGTTTCAACAAATATTTACATTATCTATTTCTCATCCCTAGACTTTAAACACTCCCCTGTCCTTTTGACCTTGAAACTCTAAAATAATCAAACCCAACTATCAGACAATTCATATCAGATCGTTGTCGATAAGTTATCGATTGTCTTTGGAATCCGACACCTGACAACAATCGATATCGATTACAATCGTGCGATACTCTATCTTGTATCAATGTAGCCCATCTAGGTAATGTTGCACGCTCTTCGATATCAATCCGATAATTCGAAACTTCACATTCACTCGTGGAAAGTGATTCGTGATTTGTTCGATCGTGTGGCGTGTGGTACGTAGAATGTGATTAAGTCTACAATTAGAAACTCACTGATTAATTGTTATCGATATTGCGTGCACGAGTTGTCGAGCTGTCACTAGAGGTTAGCGGATTCGTGGAGTATTTTAACGTTGAAAAAGCATCGATGGAAATGTTTAATAAGTAAAATGAAAGAATGTGAAGTTGTTAAAGAGATTTTAATGTCATTAACTGGGAGCAGTACTTTATAGTTTTGATAAAACACTTTTAAAGTAGTCGAAGTTATGACATGATTAAAGTACAAACCAATAGACTCCGTGAAAATTTTGGTTTCCTTTTTCACTGGGACTTTATTTATACGAAAGATTATGTAGGCTTGGATTCATAAATCTTATGTTGTATGTATTGATTAGTTTTACCACATTTAACATGTACTACAGGTTAGAATTATTAGGTTTTACTACAGTATCAAAGGTTTAATATAATAAAAAATTAGTTACATTATATGCTATATTTGAAGTGAAATAGATGATTTCTTGTAATGTTAATGTTAGAGACAAAGACAAAATGTAAAAATATTTTGCCCCTTATTTCGTATAAGAGGCGATTTTAGTTTTGTATTTCACCTTACATGGACCCTATAGATACTCGTAGTGGCGTTTCCCATGTTTCGATATTTAGTCAGTAAAAAAGAATACTTGGTTCAGTTTAACCCCAAGAAAGTGAGCTACTGCGTAAGACATTTAATCATTTTATCAAGCCTAATCGGTGAGACTATTTTTGTAAACGATAATTTTTTATGCATCGGTGTTGGTCTATTAGTACCAAATTCCGAAGTGCAAAAAAAAAAAAAAAATTCTCCACCACTGAATCTCTTTGGTAAACGCTTTGAACCTGCTTTCTGGTCTGAGACATGTTTTTGAGAAACAAAATTGTTGCTGAAAGCTCTATAGGGTGATGTGTAATTTTATAATAATTCTTTTGATGCCTCTCATCATTGACTATATAACACTACTAGTGTTATATAGTCAATGCTCTCATTCGCTTTTACAGTACTTTATAGTCCTATAACACCGAATAAATAGTTCGCAGCTACGATACTATAACAGTGATTCGGTACTATGGGATTCGGTGCTGAGACACACACGTCTTGTACAGAGAAGGTGCATTTATACCGATAATTCAAGTTGAAATGTCCAAAATAAATTATGATACACATTATAACATCTTCGTCTCATCATTATTGTTTGTTAGACAAACCTAAGTAAGGTTGAGATTATTGTTATTTCCAATCTCCAATCAAAAAAAAAAAAAAATTGCAGACTTAAAAACTTCATTATTTTTTACGCCCTTATAAAATATCCCACTTCTAACATAGTAAAGTAATTGCTGTTCAACACAACTAGGAAACTTTACTTTGTGTGTAAATTAATCCCGTAAGTAAAACGAAGACAACCAGTTGAAAGATGAGAATCGGTGCACAACTAAACGTAACGGGTGCAGACATTTACAGGAAATGCAGCTAGTTTCCGGTTGATACCAACCTGAATTATACTTCCGGTGTAGACTCTTCCGGCACAACCTGTAACAGAAGCAAATCATAAGTAACTAGGTAAAAATATATTGAATTTGTAAAAAAAAATCTATAAAATGGGAACTTCAGTATAATCATGTTGATAAAATAATTTTATGTGCCAACTAATAAGGTTAAAATATTGGTGTAAATTATTCGAAGAATCCAAAGATCCATCAAAATGTATATGCAAAAATGCATTAGTTCAACGGGTATTTAATGAAACACTAAAATTGAAAACCATTACCATACCAGCGTACCCTGTTAGAAATCACATGGTACAGTCATCTCAAAACAACCCTAAGGAACCGTTTGAGGCCAAACATAAAAAGTAACATCCAAGGATTATTTCATTTTCATTAAAACCTGACCAAACCCTGTGTAGTATTTTAATTTTACCAGTTGTTGTCTTTTGATGGCTCAGGGTTGAGAAACACTTTGGCCACCCATTCTCATCCTGATACTTGGTCACTCTCAAAGTTTATCCAAACATCAACAGTTGAAAAGTAACCAAACCAATTAAAATTGGATATAAACTAGGTTAGTTTATGCAAGACTAACCCCACCACTATTGTGGTATAAAACCCACCCCTAACAGACCACTTTGATCTCTTGTACCACAGACCTAGCAAATATGACTAAAATTACACAGAACACATTAAGGCGAAAAATATACCTAAACACAGCTTGGGTTACAAATTGAATAATTGCCCTCTTAACTTTCATAGCTTCCTCAACGCTCGAAGGTTTAGTACATAATTGCATCAATGTCTGCATCAAATTACACAGTGTGTGGGTCAGACCGCGAAATTCACGTTGGCGTGGGTCTGAAATTTCAGTTAATTGAAGGGAATTCAGACTAAACGTCTAATTATGAACGCAAATAGAAATTACTGCGGAAACACACAGTGGATAATTAATCAGTTAGCCCACGTCTGATTAACAACTACACGGTTGCCAACAATGGATGGTTCTTCCAACAATAAACTTCTCATGCCATTGTTGTGAATGTGTTACGCCTAATTTTAGCTTTCTTGTGATGTTTCAGTTTTACCGGTTATTCATCGATTTTAAACGCTTACTCTGCTTGAGTGTGAATATATATAGTCGATTAAAAGGTTTGAGCTTATGTTGTTTAGTGTTGAAATGAAAAAGTTACCTCTAAACCTAAAGGTTTACTCCTACTTACTTGGTATTTGACTAATCCCTTCCTTACTGTATGTATTTTTCTTTGATTTCTTTTGAGCTGATGCAATTTTAGAGTATATCATAGCTAAACGAAAACATATTCAAATAATCTAAATAAATTATTTTATAGTAGTTTTATTTTATCCCAGTAGATGCACCCTGCACACATAGCTCTAGCCTAGATCTGGCAGTTCTTTTAAATTATTCCAGAATAAAGACAAAGATTCTCTTATTCTGTAATATAATGAAATATAGGAGTAAACTTCATCTTAAGCTGAAACATTTAGACTTAGTATGTAATTAAATTAGCTTAAGTGTTAGACATTCCTTTTTACATTTGTTCTCCAAATAATTCAAAAACACGTAGACAACCCTTAAAATACAAAATAAAATATTAAAACATACTTTTTTTCGTACAGTCACAAAGCTAAGCTTCCACCAATTCGAACACGCAAAACACATTTCCCTTCAACCAACATCGAAAACTAAACGAAAAACTATAATTTCCAAAGTCCTCGTAAATCTAACCTAATTGAAACTTTTAATTCCGACGCTATTAAAACTTCCCCCGTTCTAAAGCGGACAACGGATTGCATATTGCAGCGGTGCAATACTGAAGATGTTCTACTGCCTAGAGACATCACGATTGAAGGTCCCTGGTCATGATCATAGCGGTATGAGCCACGTGACTAGGGTAATATGTGGAGGGAAACTAGAGGATGCAGATTTGGAGGGAAAGAATAAAAAAAGAAAGGGAAGAGGAGACAGGGAGGGTATAATAATTACGAGATCCGTAGAGAAGTGGTGATTTTGGGTATGTGGAAGAATTAAAAAAAAATAAAGATGGGGACCAAGAAGAGAACAAGAAGAAGCTGTGACTTATTGTTTCATTAGTTATACCATCTCAGTAACTAAAATTACATTCGAACATCGTAAAAGAGAAGTAAACGGATTTACCCAAATAAAATTACTTTTCACTTGGAAGATCCATTGAAGGGGGCAAAGTCCTGCAGACGTGGTTTGGCAAAGATGTAGGTTCGGTGACCGTAGGCAGACATCTGATCTTGAATGTGTGGGAAAAAGAGTTGTGGCCAGAATCACTAACGTTTCAGTTATCAATAGCTTCCATCCTCATAGTGTGTATAAATAATTAATGAGAAATTTCTTTTATAATGAACCATTCAGCTCTTAATGAGAATTTCTATCTAAAGAACCTGCTTAGTAGAAATTATATAATTTCACCTCGTTGACTCTCTTTGTCTCAAAGTATACATCTTATTGTGTTGCCGTCGTTTGGAGACTGTGTAATACACTAAGCTTTGTTGGATGAGTAAAGTTATACTATTCTAATGTATATCTGATCAATGTTTTTTTAAGATGGTAACATCCAAGCAGCGTGAAAAAACCATAACAGAGAGTTTTCATTTCAATGAAAGACCAGTTTATCTGAAATAATTGTATTATGAAAATTTCCATAGATTAAATCATTATTCAAAGATGTTGGACCTGGAAAGAAAGATGATATTGGTTAAAGATTCCTAAAGAAAACTCTCATTCTTCAACAAAAATGTCACCAGAAGGTCACCAACCTTGAGGAAATTCGCGAAGAAGACTCATCATCAAAATATCCAGGTTAATCACTTCTGAGTAGACTTCATGAAAAGACGTTTGTGCGTCTGCCGGGTAATTGCCCTTTCGTGTCTACTTTCCAAGGTATTTCCGAGCAAGTTTTGTCCTCGAGTTTTTACACTCTTGGAGACTTTCCATTTTCTTTGTTGATTTACTGGGTGGGCTCTAAGCAAGATGACATGAGCATTTTTCTCTGTTGTGGAAACGATGGGATTGTGTTTTTGAAATTGTTTGATGGGGAAGGTGAAAGGGAGGGTGTAAGACAGAAGTGAATTTATAAATAGTGATGGTATAATGTATCAACACCAGCCGAGGGTTGAAACTAGGTGTTATCCATGGTCCACGTATTTTTCGCTATACCTTACGTGATCTTTTGCCTTCTAATTATTCAAGTAGACTTCCCATCCTCTTACTAAAGCTCAAGGTAGTTTTGACATGCGTATCATGCTACAAAGTGCACCAAAACCAACTAAATATTTCTTTTACCGACTAAGATGCAATATAATATTGTCTTCAGTGTAATATTTGAATTTGCTGTTATAGGACACTTGAGAAACAGGCTATACAAGATAAATATAAATTGATGTGGATTGGTTCCATCCCATAAATAGACAGAAGTTTTCTGTTTATGTTCTGTTTATGTCTTCAATTGCAGTTAATCGACAGTTACTAAGCCAGATCAAACTGCTGCAGAGGTGGTTATTACATCACATCCAAGATCCACAATTCATCTAATTTCGACAGTAATTTAGTGTTAACAGCCTAATTCTTCCCTATAGAATTACCAACTGTACTAGGAGTCATGATATATTTCAATAGCTACATACAAGGGCTTAGCAAGAAGGAGTGATGATGATGTCAATGCATCTTTGGACGGACTCCAACTCCAGTAAACTCATTGTTTAAGACGCGTAGGTTCATGTCGGCTTCTTTACAAGTCCGGAATGTGCCTCACCTTCTGTCATCTGTCTGGAGCAGAGGAAATGATGAAGACAGTAAGAGGTGGAGTAGAATGCATCGCCAATCAGTATTTTTTGTGTTTAATTAGGGAAATATAGATACAAAAGACATAATTAGTGAACTAGGCACAACCATTTAATGAATTATGCTCTAATTGAAAATGAAGGTTGATGACTATTTTTGGTAGACGTTGAATAAGGGTGAAACAAGTTTTCAATTTTGTAACTGTTTGAATATAAGGGAAGAACCTGCGGGATTTGTACAAACATTTATAAGTTACAAATAAAATATCTAGTGCGGCAAAGTTCAATTTTGTACACTGATGGGTCTAAATAGTTCTGATATCTTCACATATTTGTGATATAAGGTGATTTTCAGCAAATTTCGTTTGGATTGAGTGGTATGAGATATTATTGTTTGTGCTTGTACAACCATATACCACCAACAAATAGATAAGTGAATTGGATATTATGTTTAAATTTAAATATTTCAATTTTGCTCTGTTTTGTTATATTCCCCATAAGTTAGTGAAGTCAAATGAATTTCTGATTTACGTTAAGTAAATCCTACGGTTTCGCAGTAGTAATAGTAGCTTTGGAATATTTGAAAAAATATAACACATAGTTAAACAATTGGGGTGTAGCGCGCTTGTTGCTAGGGAGTCGGCCGATTATCCCGGGGCGGAATATCATCAAATATGAGGGTGGTATGTATCTGTAGTCGCACCAGAGTACCAGAACACACCATATAGTGGTACACAAAGTATAATTTCTGTATTGTTCGAGGTGGCCTGATTGAAATAAGGTCCTGATTAAATGCTTTGTGAAGCTATTACACAACCAACAGTCTCCGCTAATCACTATTGCAACTGTACTACGCCGCGCGCTGGTCAGATTTCTGTTCCACTAAAATGTAGTGCTTTAAAGAGTGTTAAAGAAGGGTTATACCATTTTTCCTCAAGCAATATCCCCTCGATAAAATGGTTCGGCGTAGATGAACCCACCAAGTCCCCAAGGGTTCCACGGTTGAACACCTCTGATGTTCAGCAAGGAAGCGGTGCGCGGTCTGTTGGGCAGACAACTGGGTCGACAAGGTCGGACAAAGTGAATACTGAGTAGTCTTCGGAGTAGATGGAGTAGAGAAGTAATCCTTTAATGGAAGAAGGAGAGTGAAGATTGAACAGCTTTGTCCAAGTGATCTTCGAATAATGTTGAAGGTAGCAAAATAAATAT